ATTGCATAACAACCAATACGCAACTTGCAGTAAATGGCTGCCTAAAAATAATGCAATATTATAAAAAATAAATTATATTAAATTGCTGATTGGTTAATCAGTATCAATTATTTGATATATTTTAAATACTGGAAGGTAATTGTATATTTTTTGTTTATTCATTATTCAGAACCTGTTTCACAATGTGGCGCCGTTAAATGTCGCAACGCAGCTAAATGTCGCACTTGCCGTTAAATGTCGCAACATTGCCGCTAAATGTCGCAACCGCCGCTAAATGTCACAAAATCATTTGCCGTTAAATGTCGCAATGTTAACGTTAAGTGTCGCACGAATTTCCCTTACCGTTAAATGTCGCAACAGTACCGTTAAATGTCGCAAGATGTAAATTCATGTTAAAATCATGATTAAAGTAGTATTATATTTCTTTTTAACATTCTCATAGTTATTTTTTATTGTTATTGCCATCTTTGTTTTACTTGTTTTCTTTTATGAACCTAAATATCGAGGTTTTGAGCTGCTATATAATGTAATCTTTAGGCTAGAAAGGATAATTGATACTAAATTCTCAATAGATAAGTATTTTTCTTTTGTTTCCCATTTTCATTTGTAGCCCTGATTGACAACAGATTAAAGGTATTATGGTATTGTCGCTCTCAGAATTTGTTTTAAGTAATTTCATTTATTTTCTCAGGCACTACCGAATTTACTTTAAATGTGGTTTATTTGTTTACTATGATCATATGATGCAATATCAAAGGGCAGATAATCCTAGATTTGCAAAGTTATTTCCCTTATTTCTCTAAGAATTAACATTTTGGTTATGGCTAATTTCAAACATATTCACTTTAAACTTAAATACTTATTTCATATAGAAGTACTAATGCATTTCTAAAGGACAGATGATCCTGACAGGAATTTTTGCTAAATTATCTCCCTTTTTATATATTCCCCCCAAAATACATATTAGATATTCACTTCAAACGTGAAGGCAAAATTTTTTAATTTATCATAAATGGCAAATACGTGAAAAACATAGTATGAAATGCACGGTCAATACGAAAATCGAAAACAAAAATTATTATGTAGTACTCCTTGATCATGTAGTATTCGATCCGCAGTCGGGCGTTAGATATGACCGAATTTACGATTAACACATATAATATGCACCGGTATTTTTGTCATAGCAGCGTGCTCGCACAGCTCAATCGGTTAGAGCGCGAGACTTGTAATCTCGACCTTGTGAGTTCGATTCCCGGACTGGCCAACTAAAATTACTAATCAGTCTTTCGGATAACACTTTTAATCGAGGTCCCATGTATGGGTGCTTAAACACCTTGGCACGTTAAAGAACCAGGGGAAGCTTCTGGAATTGCTGCATCTTTCTGTACCTGTAATTGCACTATTTCTTTTTTTTTTGCCCAAAAACCAAAATGAGTTTTATATACCTCATTATGGCGAAATCTATTTGCATGAGAAACTCCGCCTTTGGGTCATCCGTTCATCAATCAACAAATATTTTTAAGTAGCAGTCCGAATTTAACGGTATAATTCCGAATTATATTACGATGTTTTCATACAAATTCAATCTTTTTATGAGATGATTACTTTTTTCGTAAACGACAGGGCTTATGCACCACGAAACCAAAATGTTCACAAAAATATCTTCCATTGTTGTGATCCACATTTTACCATATACACGAGCTAATTATACAAGTCTTCATTTACATGTTAAAATTCGTATACGAACTTTAATGTTACCATGGCGTTTTCCTTTTAAAATCATAACTTGTGAACAATTTTAATGAGGTTTACAACAATACTGTTAAAATGTTAACAAATCCACAAAATGCTTGGTTTGTAAGCCGACGGAAAATTATGTTTACATATTTTATTTAATGTTACTTTAAAAAAAATCTATTTTAACTTTTGTGACCATGTCCCATTGATCCCTACCTCAATCAAAAGGAAGAATACCATGCAAGTAATCTACCTTCCAAATATGAAATACATTCGTCAATAAATAAAGGCTGTAAAAGTGTAGAAATCTATTTTTAGAACTGGCGACTTTGATTCAACTGTACCCTTACTCCATCCAAAGGAGAAGACTTCAATTTTATGTTCCTACAAATATAAAAGTCATCTCTCAAATCACTCAAATCGGACTAAGAAAAGCATAAACACACGATTTTCAATTAATTTCAAAGTACATTTCTTAACTATCTTTGCATATATTTCTGTTTAAAGTCCCCCGCTCATTTATGTAAGATATTCAAATGTTATAATTTTAGGCTTTTTCACCTCAGTGGAGTCCCTTTAAAAATTTACAAACAATAACGGTATAGTTTGTAAATCATGATGCTATCCAAGACCGTTATACATTGAGATATAGTACAATTTGAAGTTATCATGTGTATTTAAAATATTTCGAACACGGACATCTGTGTTGTGTTTAATAGAAAAAAGGAAAATGGATTTATGTTGGATGATGGATATACAACATTAAATTTGTGATGTGTATATCAATATTATGGTTGAAAATGCTCGGGATATAAAAATACTGTATTTTTGACTTTGATTCTTGGTGTAATGAATTAATAGTTCAAAAACAAGCATTGGAGTACAGTACATAATTTTATATACAGGATTTTTTAAAACTTGTTTGTATTAGCAAGGAAGGGAGATAATCTTGATAATTAAGAGATTAAGAAGAATAACAGATGATTCCCCTTGTATAATGTTCACACAGTTATGGGATTTGAGCTTACGACCTTCCGCATGCGAAACAAGGACCTTAACCACTACTCTAACAGGCCATATATTATCTTTCAAATGTTTTTCCTGTTGGTGCGTTTTCGTATATGGCTTTATCCTGCCACCCCTGTGTACTAATAAATTAAGATTTCCCATTCTCGATCATATTTGAATCGATACCGTTATGCCGGATTCCGATGAATGCCGATAAAAGGTCATTGAATATTCAAATGTCTCCGGCCAATATTGCCCAACAATATTTCAATAATGAAAAGGTCAGAGTTGAGAAGCACGGCGGAATATGCCGAATTTTCCCGCTACACAGATTACAGACCACGTGATCATTTGAGCAAATAGGTCATTTTTGGTGGGAAACTCGCGCCGAGAAGACGTTCTTTGTGAATAGAGTAAGTGTGATGATATTTTACAACTTTTGTATTTGATCGTTTATATTGTTCTTGATGTATGCTATTTTTTTATGTACTCGCGCTTTATAAAATATCTTTAAATAAGTATGTTATCCTTGTAGTTAGTTAGTTATGAGTTGAGTTGAAGTTATTGTTGATGGTTCTTATAAAATGTGATTTGGCCAGACTCCGTGATGCGCCCCCGGTTTTGTTGATATACTCGCGATTTATAAAATATTTTTATGTAAGTTATCCCTGAACCCCCTATAGTAAGAAATGTGTAGAGTTGAAGTTATTGTTGATGGTTGTTGTAATAAAATGTGATTTGGCCAGACTACGTGATGCGCCCGCGGTTTTGTTGATATACTCGCGATTTATAAACAAATCTTTATGTAAGTTATTCCTGTACCCCCTGTAGTAAGTGATGTGTTGAGTTGAAGTTATTGTTGATGGTTGTTGTAATAAAATGTGATTTGGCCAGACTACGTGATGCGCCCGCAGTTTTGGTGATATACTCGCGAATTATAAAAAACTCTTTATGTAAGTTATCCCTGTACCCCCTGTAGTAAGTGATGTGTTGAGTTGAAGTTATTGTTGATGGTTGTTGTAATAAAATGTGATTTGGCCAGACTACGTGATGCGCCCGCGGTTTTGTTGATATACTTGCGATTTATAAAAAAAATTCATTATATAAGTTATCCCTGTACCCCCTGTAGTAAGTGATGTGTTGAGTTGAAGTTATTGTTGATGGTTGTTGTAATAAAATGTGATTTGGCCAGACTACGTGATGCGCCCGCGGTTTTGTTGATATACCCGCGATTTATAAAAAATCTTTATGTAAGTTATCCCTGTACCCCCTGTAGTAAGTGATGTGTTGAGTTGAAGTTATTGTTGATGGTTGTTGTAATAAAATATGATTTGGCCAGACTACGTGATGCGCCCGCGATTTTGTTGATTTACTCGCGATTTATGAAAAAATATGTAAGTTATCCCTGTACCCCCGTGTAGTAAGTGATGTGTTGAGTTAAAAATATTGTTGATTGTTGTTGTTATAAAATGTGGTTTGGCCAGACTGCGTGATGCGCCCGCGGCTTTGTTGATATACTCGCGATTCATAGAAAAAATATTTGTTAGTTATCCCTGTACCCCCTGTAGTAAGTGATGTGTTGAGTTGAAGTTATTGTTGATGGTTGTTGTTATAAAATGTAATTTGACCAAACTACGTGATGCGCCCGCGGTTTTGTTGATATACTTGCGATTTATAAAAAAAGTCTTTTTGTAAGTTATGCTTGTACCCCATGCAGTTAGTAATGTGTTGAGTTGAAGATATTGTTGATGGTTGTTGTTATAAAATGTGATTTGGTCAGACTACGTAATGCGTCCCCAGTTTTGTTGATATACTCGCGATTTATAAAAAATCTTTATGTAAGTTATCCCTGTACCCCCTGTAGTTGATTATGTGTTGAGTTGAAGTTATTGTTGATGGTGGTTGTTATAAAATGTGATTCTGGCCAGACTACGTGATGCGCCCGCGGTTTTGTTGATAAACTCGCGATTTATAAAAAAATCTTTATGTAAGTTATCCCTGTACCCCCTGTAGTAAGTGATGTGTTGAGTTGAAGTTATTGATGATGGTTGTTGTAATAAAAGTGATTTGCCCAGACTACGTGATGCGCCCGCTGTTTTGTTGATATACCCGCGATTTATAAAAAAATCTTTATGTAAGTTATCCCTGTACCCCAGTAGTAAGTGATGTGTTGAGTTGAAGTTATTGTTGATGGTTGTTGTTATAAAATGTGATTTGGCCAGACTACGTGATGCGCCCCCAGTTTTGTTGATATACTCGCGATTTATAAAAAAAAACTATATGTAAGTTATCCCTGTACCCCCAGTAGTAAGTGATGTGTTGAGTTGAAGTTATTGTTGATGGTTGTTGTTATAAAATGTGATTCTGGCCAGACTACGTGATGTGCCCGCGGTTTTTTATATACTCGTGATTTTGATTTGATTTTGAAATGCCTGTATTTGTTTGCACTAATACCTATATTTTTGTTTTACAGATCTATTTACCAGGTTCTTTAACTGTTTTTTCCCTGTTCTAATGTTTTGTGTTTTTTTTTGTGTTTTTTGAAACCCCCTGGAAAGAAGATGTTGGTGTTCTAGTTCTATATTGTGGCGGAGACGTGATGATGTGGATAGCTGCATGTGTATTATTGGTTGGAAACTGGCATGATGGAGCAATTAGGTATTTTACAATATTATACTTTAAGGATTTTTTGTATGTATAGTATCATCTATGTAAGGGATAAAAGAAATCAGCTAATTCAACAAACAGTTGATAAGAATTGTCTATTGGAGATAGTCTTTTAGCTAGCTAGACTGGAAGGTAAGTGGTTCTACTAGGCATGAACTTGCTCTACCCTGAAACTCATTTGACGGCCTTTATCTGCCATATAATAAAGAATGGGCCTTCATATAATATAAAACCAAAGAAACATTGATAATTACCTGCTTACTTGAAAAGCAATGTGTTAAGACATGATAAATATTAACATTATAAAATTAGAATGTTATTTTGTAAACCCTGGTGATATTTCAGACCATGGAGGAGTGATGAAGCGGAAGTGGATAAGACTATCAGTTCTTCGAGAGTCCCAGTGCCTATATACTCGCAAGAAGGATATGGTATGGAATAGCTTAGTACATCTATGTGCTGGCAGATTTGTACAACAATAAGTTGTTCCAGTGTGAAGAAAGATGCGTGTCATAAGGTAAACCTTGTTCTTTGATGCTATAGTAAATCATAATAAAGATAATGAATCATAATAAAATCAAAATACAAGTTTGGTTGAAATCCTGTGCAATTTGAGCCAAATGAATATAGAGGTGAGTATCCTGTCGGCCATTTTGGAGACTAGGGTTCCATTCCCTGTCTATGTTTACTTACAAAATACAATTTTATTATATTACTTATGAATAAAGTATACAGTTGATAGGAATTGTCTATTGGAGATAGTCTTTTAGCTAGCTAGACTGGAAGGTAAGTGGTTCTACTAGGCATGAACTTGCCCTACCCTGAAACTCATTTGACGGCCTTTATCTGCCATATAATAAAGAATGGGCCTTCATATAATATAAAACCAATGAAACATTGATAATTACCTGCTTACTTGAAAAGTAATTTGTAAAGACATGATAAATATTAACATTATAAGATTAGAATGTTATTTTGTAAACCCTGGTGATATTTCAGACCATGGAGGAGTGATGAAGCGGAAGTGGATAAGACTATCAGTTCTTCGAGAGTCCCAGTGCCTATATACTCGCAAGAAGGATATGGTATGGAATAGCTTAGTACATCTATGTGCTGGCAGATTTGTACAACAATAAGTTGTTCCAGTGTGAAGAAAGATGCGTGTCATAAGGTAAACCTTGTTCTTTGATGCTATAGTAAATCATAATAAAGATAATGAATCATAATAAAATCAAAATACAAGTTTGGTTGATATCCTGTGCAATTTGAGCCAAATGAATATAGAGGTGAGTATCCTGTCGGCCATTTTGGAGACTATAGGGTTCCATTCCCTGTCTTAGTATGTTTACAAAATACAATTTTATTATATTACTTATGAATAAAGTATACATTTGATAGGCATTGTCAGTTGTAGTTGTCTAACAGGATAACTTGACAGCTGTGTAATGCCAGATAAACAATATACCACCAAGTCAACAAATCAAATGGCCCCTCGCTAATTTGCATAAATTCCATTGTACAGTGTGATATACCGTTCTCTTGGATTTTATTGGTTAATTTATTTGCACTTATATAAAATCAAAACTGTCAAAATGATGGCATTAATCCATTTCCTTTTCTATCCACAAACTTTCTTTAACCCATACAGTACAGTTTCGTGATCAATATAAACACATTTTCTCGCCGTTGTGGGTAGCTTCATATATACACTCAGTTGATTTCCCTGAGCATGCCTTTCAACGCCGTCAAATTAAACACAAATTTGCATTTAATTATTCATATAAATGACACAGTAATAATGATATTGTAAACACAAAATATTGGCAAGGTATTTTCCATTTTCAGAAAATTGGGTTACTATAAAAAGATTTTTGGAGAAGACGTTCTTTGTGAATAGAGTAAGTGTGATGATATTTTACAACTTTTGTATTTGATCGTTTATATTGTTCTTGATGTATGCTATTTTTTATGTACTCGCGCTTTATAAAATATCTTTAAATACGTATGTTATCCCTGTAGTTAGTTATGAGTTGAGTTGAAGTTATTGTTAATGGTTCTTATAAAATGTGATTTGGCCACAACTACGTAATGCGCCCGCGGTTTTGTTGATATACTCTCGATTTATAAAATATTTTTATGTAAGTTATCCCTGAACCCCCTATAGTAAGAAATGTGAAGAGTTGAAGTTATTGTTGATGGTTGTTGTAATAAAATGTGATTTGGCCAGATTACGTGATGCGCCCGCGATTTTGTTGATTTACTCGCGATTTATAAAAAAAATATGTAAGTTATCCCTGTACCCCCTAAAGTAAATGATGTATTAAGCTAAAAATATTGTTGATTGTTGTTGTTATAAAATGTGATTTGGCCACACTGCGTGATGCGCCCGCGGTTTTGTTGATATACTCGCGATTTATAAAAAAAGTCTTTATGTAAGTTATGCTTGTACCCCCGGCAGTTAGTAATCTGTTGAGTTGAAGTTATAGTTGATGGTTGTTGTTATAAAATGTGATTTGGTCAGACTACGTGATGCGCCCCCAGTTTTGTTGATATACTCGCGATTTATAAAAAAACGTTATGTAAGTTATCGCTGTACCCCCCTGTAGTTGGTTATGTGTTGAGTTGAAGTTATTGTTGATGGTGGTTGTTATAAAATGTGATTCTGGCCAGACTACGTGATGCGTCCGCGGTTTTGTTGATATACTCGCGATTTATAAAAAAAATCTTTATGTAAGTTATCCCTGTACCCCCTGTAGTAAGTGATGTGTTGAGTTGAAGTTATTGTTGATGGTTGTTGTAATAAAATATGATTTGGCCAGATTACGTGATGCGCCCGCGATTTTGTTGATTTACTCGCGATTTATAAAAACATATGTAAGTTATCCCTGTACCCCCTGAAGTAAATGATGTGTTGAGTTAAAAATATTGTTGATTGTTGTTGTTATAAAATGTGATTTGGCCAGACTACGTGATGCGCCCGCGGTTTTGTTGATATACTCGCGATTTATAAAAAAATCTTTATGTAAGTTATCCCTGTACCCCCTGTAGTTGGTGATGTGTTGAATTGAAGTTATTGCTGATGGTTGTTGTTATAAAATGTGATTTGGCCAGACTACGTGATGCGCCCGCGGTTTTGTTGATATACTCGCAATTTATAAACAATCTTTATGAAAGTTATCCCTGTACCCCCTGTAGTTGGTTATGTGTTGAGTTGAAGTTATTGTTGATGGTGGTTGTTATAAAATGTGATTCTGGCCAGACTACCTCATGTGCCCGCGGTTTTTTATATACTCGTGATTTTGATTTGATTTTGAAATGCCTGTATTTGTTTGCACTAATACCTATATTTTTGTTTTACAGATCTATTTACCAGGTTCTTTAACTGTTTTTTCCCTGTTCTAATGTTTTGTGTTTTTTTGTGTTTTTGGAAACCCCCTGGAAAGAAGATGTTGGTGTTCTAGTTCTACATTGTGGCGGAGACGTGATGATGTGGATAGCTGCATGTGTATTATTGGTTGGAAACTGGCATGATGGAGCAAGAAGTTATTTTACAATATTATACTTTAAGGATTTTTGTATGTATAATATCATCTATGTAAGGGATAAAAGAAATCAGCTAATTCAACAAACAGTTGATAGGAATTGTCTAATGGAGATAGTCTTTTAGCTAGCTATACTGGAAGGTAAGTGGTTCTACTAGGCATGAACTTGCCCTAATGCCCGTAATAAAGATAACGAATCATAATAAAATCAAAATACAAGTTTGGTTGAAATCCTGTGCAATTGGAGCCAAATGAATATAAAGGTGAGTATCCTGTCGGCCATTTTGGAGACTACGGTTCCTTTCCCTGTCTTTGTTTACTTACAAAATACAATTTTATTATATTACTTATGAATAAAGTATACAGTTGATAGGAATTGTCTATTGGAGATAGTCTTTTAGCTAGCTAGACTGGAAGGTAAGTGGTTCTACTAGATATGAACTTGCCCTACCCTGAAACTCATTTGACGGCCTTTATCTGCCATATGATAAAGAATGGGCCTTAATATAATACAAAAACCAATGAAACATTGATAATTACCTGCTTACTTGAAAATTAATTTGTAAAGACATTCTAAATATTAACATTATAAGATTAGAATGTTATTTTGTAAACCCTGGTGATATTTCAGACCATGTAGGAGTGATGAAGCGGAAGTGGATAAGACTATCAGTTTCTTCGAGAGTCCCAGTGCCTATATACTCGCAAGAAGGATATGGTATGGAATAGCTTAGTACATTATGTGCTGGCAGATTTGTACAACAATAAGTTGTTCCAGTGTGAAGAAAGATGACTGTCATAAGGTAAATCTCGTTCTTTGATTGCTATTAGTAAATCATAATAAAGATACATGAAATCATAATAAAATCAAAATACAAGTTGGTTGAAATCCTGTGCAATTTGAGCAAATGAATATAGAGGTGAGTATCCTGTCAGCCATTTTTGGAGACTATATGGTTCCATTCCCTGTCTTAGTATGTTTACAAAATACAATTTTATTATATTACTTATGAATAAAGTATACATTTGATAGGCATTGTCAGTTGTAGTTGTCTAACAGGATAACTTGACAGCTGTGTAATGCCAGATAAACAATATACCACCAAGTCAAACAAATCTAATGGCCCCTCGCTAATTTGCATAAATTCCATTGTACAGTGTGATGTACCGTTTTCTTGGATTTTCTTGGTTAATTTATTTGACTTATATAAAATCAAAACTGTCAAAATGATGGCATTAATCCATTGCCTTTTCTATCCACAAACTTTCTATAATCCATACAGTACAGTTTCGTGATCAATATAAAAACATTTTCTCGCCGTTGTGGGTAGCTTCATATATACACTCAGTTGATTTCCCTGAGCATGCCTTTCAACGCCGTCAAATTAAACACAAATTTGCATTTAATTATTCATATAAATGACACAGGAAGAATGATATTGTAAACACAAAATATTGGCAAGGTATTTTCCATTTTCAGAAAATTGGGTTACTATAAAAATATTTTTGGAAAAAACTGTATTGTACGTATACGCCGCCGACCTCTAAATAATTTTCACATGGAAGTAAATATTTTTTCAGAAAATGGATTGTAGTGTAACAGTGGTGAAGTGTTTGTTGATCGAGACTATCAATTCTTCGAGAGTCCCAGTGCCTATATACTCGCAAGAAGGATATGGTATTGAATAGCTTGTTACATTTCCGTGCTGGTAGATTTGTACGTTTGGAAGTTGTTTCAGTGTGGATAGAGATGGACACGGTGCATTGTGCGGTAAACCTTGCTCTTTGATTTCATTGGTAAATCCCTATAAATATAATGAATTTATGATAATAATTCAGAAATTAGTATGCCCTTGTCTGTCCATTTTGGGGCATATTTTCTCTGCCAATAAAGGTGGAGAGTCGCCATATGACTTGAGAACCAACAAAACAAATATAGCTTGGTACATCTCTGTGCTGGTAGATTTGTACATTTGAAAGTTATTTCAGTGTGGAGAGAGATGGACACAGTCAGTATGCAATTTGATAGGAATGATCTACTTTAGCTAGTAGACTAGAATATCTGTGGTTCTACCCTTTTACCTTTTTACCTGCCCTTGTCTGTCCGTTTTGAGGCATATTTTTTTCTGCCAATAAAGGTGGAGAGTCGTCAAATGACTTAAGAACCAATAAACCAAATGTGATTTGTTTAGTTAAAAAGACTTTGTTCAACATATGGTATATGTTGAGAAATGAGATTGGAATGTTGTTTTGTTAACACCAGTGAACTTTCAGTTAATCTTAAGACCAAGGAGGCAAATTTGCAAGAATGACATGAAACATGGTGATGATGGATGGATGTGTGGATGGTCAAAGCCACTCAGTGACAGAGTATTGGAGTACTTGACATGCATTGTGAAAGTTGATCGAGACTATCAATTCTTCGAGAGTCCCAGTGCCTATATACTCGCAAGAAGGATATGGTATGGAATAGCTTGGTACACCTCTTTGCTGGTAGATTTGTACATTTGGAAGTTGTTTCAGTGTGGAGAGAGATGGACACGGTGTATTGTACGGTAAACCTTGCTCTTTGATTTCATTGGTAAATCCCTATAAATATAATGAATTTATGATAATAATTTAGAAATTAGTATGCCCTTGTCTGTCCATTTTGGGGCATATTTTCTCTGCCAATAAAGGTGGAGAGTCGCCATATGACTTGAGAACCAACAAAACAAATATAGCTTGGTACATCTCTGTGCTGGTAGATTTGTACATCAGTATGGAGAGAGATGGACACAGTCAGTATGCAATTTGATAGGAATGATCTATTTTAGCAAGTCTATTACTAGATAGACTAGAATATCTGTGGTTCTACCCTTTAACCTGCCCTTGTCTGTCCATTTTGGGGCATATTTTTCTGCCAATAAAGATGGAGAGTCGTCAAATGACTTAAGAACCAATAAACCAAATGTGATTTGTTTAGTTAAAAAGACTTTGTTCAACATATGGTATATGTTGAGAAATGAGATTGGAATGTTGTTTTGTTAACACCAGTGAACTTTCAGTTAATCTTAAGACCAAGGAGGCAAATTTGCAAGAATGACATGAAACATGGTGATGATGGATGGATGTGTGGATGGTCAAAGCCACTCAGTGACAGAGTATTGGAGTACTTGACATGCATTGTGAAAGTTGATCGAGACTATCAATTCTTCGAGAGTCCCAGTGCCTATATACTCGCAAGAAGGATATGGTATGGAATAGCTTGGTACACCTCTTTGCTGGTAGATTTGTACATTTGGAAGTTGTTTCAGTGTGGAGAGAGATGGACACGGTGTATTGTACGGTAAACCTTGCTCTTTGATTTTATTGGTAAATCCCTATAAATATAATGAATTTATGATAATAATTTAGAAATTAGTATGCCCTTGTCTGTCCATTTTTGGGCATATTTTCTCTGCCAATAAAGGTGGAGAGTCGCCATATGACTTGAGAACCAACAAAACAAATATAGCTTGGTACATCTCTGTGCTGGTAGATTTGTACATCAGTATGGAGAGAGATGGACACAGTCAGTATGCAATTTGATAGGAATGATCTATTTTAGCTAGTCTATTACTAGATAGACTAGAATA